CCATTCATCTGCCAGCGGCTAGATTCCGCAGCTGAATGCAGTGGGCGGGAGCAATAGCCAGTCTGCTATTGGATATTTCAAATTGTAAAAGCCAATAGCAGGCTGGCTATTGCACCTGCTATACCGTGTAAACAAATGGACCATTGCTACACCACACAGCCACACACAGATGTGATTGCTCTGCTTTTGAGGTTACCTTTTAGTTGCACATAAAAAATGATTGCAGGCCTTTGCGTTGAGCAGGGGTCCTCAAACTTTTTAAACATGGGGCTAGTTCACTGTCCCTCAGACATTGCTGGGGGCCGGATCATAAGCTGAAAAACAGGGGGGCGTGGCTGTGGTGCCGCACCGCCACGCCCCCTCCCAGAACAAAAGTTTTTTTTTTACATTATGTTAGGAAACATTATCACCCAATTTTTTTGGTCAATTATAAAAGTCGGGGTCACGTCGGGTAAATAGACACCAAACATGTCAAGCTTACAAATTGCGCGCACTCGCCAAATCGCAAAAAAACACCATACCCAAAACTGACCATAGGCGACGCTTTAAAAGCTTTTACCGCTCATCAGTTTAGTGTTATCAGTGATTGATGACCCTAAAATGATCTCACTGCGACGTTCGCGGCGATATGTAACATGTGCGGCGTAATGGGCGCAATCGTCGTTTTCGCAGGTATGCGCACCTGACGCATGTTTGCATGCGTGTATGTATGGGGGGACTTTAAAAAAAAAATGTTTTTTTAATTCTTTATGTGTAACTTTCAACATTTTTTTGGGAAACTTCTATTTTTTCCACCTTTTTTTTTTTTTTTTAACCTAACTTTATTGCTATCACATAGGGGGCTAAGAAACCCCTCCTATGTGATAGCAAAAGATGTGACAGGTTGATTCGAATTGTGTTAAGGCAGCACTCAATGAGCCTCCACCCAAAAAATGAGCCAGCATTCCTTGTGGTCAGTGCAGTGCACCATGCACCACAATACACAGAGCATTTGCATCTGCATGTTGTACCCCTGGCCCAACACTCAGGGCCGGATTTCCCACAAGGCCAACCAAGGCCCGGCCTCGGGGTAGCAGGAAGTAGCGGGGCAGCATGGCTGTGGAATTCCTGTCTCCCGATGCCCGGGCCGGTAGTTTTCTACATTTTAGAATTGCTTTGGGCAAGCAGAGATAAATGTACAGCGGGGAAGCGACTGCCCGTTCTGTACAAGTGATCCCGGTGTGACATTGTATGCAGTCCTACAGGTCTGCCATTCTCCATGGGGGGGTTTGGGTTGGCTGGTAGAGGGGTGAATTGAGGAACCTGGCCTTGGGGCGGCAGCAGAAAGAGTAAATCCGGCCCTGCCAACACTGTATATGCCCATGGGGGAAACGTTGTGGTACTCCTGCAGTAATTTGCACAAAAACATGTTTTCTGCGGCATCACCATGTGCAGAATTCTAGACGTTCCCTACCCAACGTACGGTTTGTTTGCATTTGTTTTGTTAAGTCAAGTTGTTCCATAAAAACTTGTAACGATAGAGCAGACCAAAGAATTTATTTCTGAATCCTAAATTTAGCAAACATGGTAAGTATGGGCGGCAAACAGTGGGGATCCCAGCACTCTCAAAGCCCTAATGGTCTCTCGAGGCCTCTTAGCAGCGTATGAACTGTTATTGGACAATGCCGTAAATCTCGTTTTACAAAGGTTACCTTCGCACCCTCTGTAACAACCTATCAAAGTGGCTTTGCCTTGGACTGTTACATGCCAAGGATGTGTGTGTGTGTGTGTAATGACTTCTGCCGTATCTACCTTCCAGAAATAACTCGCATATTTTAGAACCGCATGCCCTTACAGATAATCTCCGCTTATTTCATCTAACAAAGGCTTCTCTTCAGAGGGGGACCGGCTCCCAAAATATATGTGCTGATAACCAATGGACCAGCACTGTAGAGGAGCAGGAGCCAAGGTTCCTATCACTCCATGGACTGGAGACATCTGACTGACCCCAGAGGTGTCAGGTGGCCTAGAGTCAGATTTTAGAAATGTCACCAGAGACTAGATTGAAAGGATGCATCAGTAAGGAGGTGTGAAGTAGTACTGGACTTGACGGGGTGGGCGCTCTTTGTTGCTGCTCAGCTGATGGAAGCATACTGGGTCAGTTGGTTCCTTCAAAACCTCATGCTTGTTGATGGTGAGGAGCATCAAAAACAAAGTTTTTAGGAACTTTTCCAAATAAAAGGAGATTTATAAAGACCAAAAGTGTGAAGATAAGACAGCCAACGCGTTTCAGGGTCAGCCCCTTTATTTAGGGCTAAGAGGCCAACAGGATAAATATGTGAATAGTGAATAATAGAAGCCGTAGCTGTATAAATAGAGGAAAACCTTTTGGTAAAATGTAATTAATAATAAATATTTGTTTTCTTGATCTCTCTGTCTCTGTTGTAGATCTTTTCTCCCATTTTTTTCCTTGGTACCTGGACTGGAAGCCGGGGTTGTCTGAGGGCGCAGTAGTAAATATTAGACAAAGGCTTTACTTTGGCTAAAGTCTTTGAAATGAACCTGTCCTTTAGGAAAAATTAAATAAACGGAACCATGGGCACAAAGCCACAAGCCACAAAGGACATAAGTCCACTCTGTGTGCACCAAATGCATTTGCAAACAAAGTTATTAGTTTGCAGAAGTAGCAGTGGTATCATCACTGTGCAGTGCATAGACAGTGCAGAGAGCGGAGCTGTGGGAGGAGCTACCAGGCCCCACCCACTACAGGAGGGGGTGGAGATGAGACACCAGGAGAGAGATCAGCAGTCCTTTATTACAGGAGGGGGCGGAGATGAGACCAGTCACCCTGCACAAGGAGAGAGAGGGCAGCAATTAACAATCTTTCTTACAGGAGGGGGCGGAGACCAGACCAATCACCCTCCACAATTAGGGAGAGCAGCAGTGAGCAGTCTTTATTACAGGAGGGGGCTGAGACCAGACCAGTCACCCTGCACAAGGAGAGAGAGCAGCAGTGAGCGGTCTTTATTACAGGAGGGGGCAGAGACGAGACCAGTCACCCTGCACAAGGAGAGAGAGGGAGCAGCAGTGAGCGGCCTTTATTACAGGAGGGGGAGGAGCCAAAACCAGTCTCCAATATTTGCTCATGACGGAGTTTACCTAAAGTGAAAGTCTAGGCATACGTGTGCTTCCATGCCCACCAGTATAAGACCCCTTTATGATCCGCATACATCTATAACCTTATATAACGCTTGTCCTCTAATGTTCTGTGCATGTGTCGGGTTATTATGATGTCTATCTTCCATATGTATTACAACTGAAAACTCTAAAAAAAGTACATGCTTAAAAAAAAGACCCCTTTATTAACCAAGCTCTTAGTTTCAACTTAAGACCCCCATAGACAATTTGAATTGTAGGTAGGAATTGGCCAAATTTTGAGCCTGCAAGACAAAAGTCAACTTACAAATCACCTGAGCCGAGTAGCAAAGTTCTGGCTGGGTGGAAAGCCTGTAGGTCAGGCAGATGCAGTCACTGTTGGGCGGCGCCATTGTTTTTAGAAATACAATGGCCAGCAGTGGAAATTCCTCCGTCCACGGTGTTAGCCCACAGGCAGAACTAGGGAAGATCAAGCCCTGTATGGCAGCCTTTATGGCTTGTTCACACCATGTGTCATAGCAAACATTTGCGGTGGCATTCAGAAAAATCCGGCTCAATGGACAAGGTGTGAACAAGCCATTCGTGTTCCTATAAATCGCCAACAAAAATGTCCTTCAATGCTGCTTTGTTCTGCACTTCTCCTCCGGTGATGTGGGGTGGTGAGCGGCTCCTTCCCCTGTGTTGGCTTGGACTAACACTCTGCTCTCTGGACTACAATACCCAACGGCACTCAGCAAGCCAATGGCTGAGTTGGTGGGTATTATTATTATTATTATACAGGATTTATATGGCGTCAACAGTTTGCGCAGCGCTTTACAATATAAGGAAGACATTACAGTCACAATACAATTCAAGACAAGATGGTAAGGAGGGCCCTGCCCCTAAGGGC